TTAAAGATTTTATTTATTTATTTGACAGAGAGATAGATAGCGAGAGCAGGAACACAAGCAGGGGGAGTGGGAGAGGGAGAAGCAGGCTTCTCACCGAGCAGGGAGCCCGATGCAGGGCTTGATCCCAGGACCCTGGGATCACGACCTGAGCCGAAGGCAGACGCTTAACGACTGAGCCACCCAGGCGCCCAACCCTTAAGTTTTCTTGATGTTTGACTCCACAGAGTGAAAACAAGGACTCTAAAAAATGGAATCTTAACATTAATTATGAAAAATATGCACATGATATGCAATTCTATAAAGTAGCCCCTGCCACAGTAAAAAGCTTCCGGGTGGTGGGAGGACTACTTAAAGCACACTGTTCTTTTTCTCAGCACAGAATGATCTTACATCACATGAATAAGAAAGTGTGCAAGTGGTAGAAAACAAGGGCCAGCACAGAATTTCTTTGCTAAGTCATGAATGTGTCAAATTTCCAACTGTTTAGTAAAGTTCAAACAGCAAATTTAAGGCACCTCCCCCCATTTGAAATTAATAAATAATGAAAATATCCACCACACTGATTAGTATCACACCAATACTCACGAGTCCGAGCTTTCTGGCTTCAATCAAAATCTTATGTAAGTATCTCCTAAAAACAGGATTGCTTTGACTTTCATAGTCTTCCTTCTTTTTCTTTTCACACTCATCGATCTGTAAGTACAAAACAAATTCAACATTAGATAGCATCAAAGTTTCATGTGAGGGTCAAGTTTCTAGCCTAGTGGCCCCATCAAGATCAAGGTAAGGAGCTTGCGATTATCAACTATATGAAAATGTAGAGCGTCCTACCTTCTGTGGGTTCTCTTTGCAAAGCATTAGAACCTGTGATAACCAACTTTTATTTTCTAACTAAGTATGAACCATGAATTGAGTTAGCATTTGAAATGGGCTTCAGATGATAAACATAACAACTGAGTGTCACACACAGACTTAAGAGAGAAGGACCCTTGAAAAGTCACATGGCAGTTTCCTCCGCTTGCAGGCAAGGTTTACAAACCTCTTTAAATTTCTCAAGAGAATTTTTGAGAGAGACAGAGAGCATACACAAGCACGAGCAAGGGGTGGTGCGGGGGGCAGAGGGAGAGGGAGAATCTTTTTTTTTTTTTTTAAAGATTTTATTTATTTATTTGAGACAGAGAGAATGAGAGACAGAGAGCATGAGAGGGAGGAGGGTCAGAG